ACCTTACCTCCGGACTTGACAGAATGACCTGATGGTGTACGTTGGTGACTACTACTGCAACTCCTGGACGAGTAGAACTAGGTGTGCCGTGTTTGGGCTCGTTTTGTTAGTTATGACGAGATCTTACCTCCGGACTTGACAGAATGACCTGATGGTGTACGTTGGTGACTACTACTGCAACTCCTGGACGAGTAGAACTAGGTGTACCGTGTTTGGGCTCGTTTTGTTAGTTATGACGATACCTTACCTCCGAACTTGATGAGAGACCTGATGGTGTACTTCATAACTCCTGGAAGAGTAGAAATGAGTGTGCCGAGTTTAGGCACGTCGGAGAAAATATAAATGGTATTACCAAATTCAAGGGCAACTGCGCATCATAACTAACAAACTCGACACACCTAGTTCTACTCGTCCAGGAGTTGCAGTAGTAGTCACCAACGTACACCATCAGGTCATTCTGTCAAGTCCGGAGGTAAGGCCTCATCGTAACTAACAAAACGAGCCCAAACTACGCATACCTAGTTTTACTCGTCCAGGAGTTGCAGTACTAGTTACCAACGTACACCATCAGGTCATTCTGTCAAGTCCGGAGGTAAGGTTTCATCGTAACTAACAAAACGAGCCCAAACTTGGCATACCTAGTTCTACTCGTCCAGGAGTTCCACTAGCACTTACCGAAGTACACCTTCAGGTCATTCCATCAAGTGCGGAGGTAAGGTCTCGTCATAACTAACATAATGAGCCCTAACTCGGCACACCTACTTCTACTCGTCCAGGAGTTGCAGTAGTAGTCACCAACGTACACCACCAGGTCTCTCCATTAAGTCCGGAGGTAAGGTTTCGTCATAACTAACATAATGAGCCCTAACTCTGCACACCTACTTCTACTCGTCCAGGAGTTGCAGTAGTAGTCACACACGTACACCATCAGGTCATTCTGTCAAGTCCGGAGGTAAGGTCTCATCGTAACTAACAAAACGAGCCCAAACTACGCATACCTAGTTTTACTCGTTCAGGAGTTGCAGTAGTAGTCACCAACGTACACCATCAGGTCATTCTGTCAAGTCCGGAGGTAAGGTTTCATCGTTACTAACAAAACGAGCCCAAACTTGGCATACCTAGTTCTACTCGTCCAGGAGTTCCACTAGCAGTTACCGATGTACACCTTCAGGTCATTCCATCAAGTCCGGAGGTAAGGTCTCGTCATAACTAACATAATGAGCCCTAACTCAGCACACCTAGTTCTACTCGCCCAGGAGTTCCAATAGTAGTCACTGAAGTACACCATCAGGTCTCTCATCAATTCCGGAGGTAAGATCTCGTCATAACTAACAAAACGAGCCCAAGCTTGGCACACCTAGTTCTACTCGTCCAGGAGTTGTAGTAGTAGTCACCAACGTACACCATCAGGTCATTCTGTCAAGTCCGGAGGTAAGGTCTCATCATAACTAACATAATGAGCCCAAACTCGGCACACATGGTACTACTCGTCCCGGACTTCCAGTAGCAGTCACCCAAGTATACCTTCAAGTCACTTCACCAAGTTCGGAGCTGAAGTTATCATAACTAACAAAACCAGCTCAAAGTCCACAGCCAACATCTCACTCCCTGTAGATGGCTTCTAGTACCTAGCTGTCTCTGGAGCAGCCATTTATATTTCGTATCTAAGTATATTTTTGTAGGTAATAAGAAATATGAAAAAAATCTTTCAAATTATCAAAATGTTTATACTTGATTGCGATTCCCGCAGCTAACCGTGCGTGCACTTGTGTGTGTGACCAGTGTCAATGTAATAGTTCGATTCTATACCTATCAATTTTGTAAACGCGTCCTTAAGGCAGTTTCCGATCCACGAGACCGTATTTCAGAGCGAGCTTCTGGTGTATAATCCTGGCTACTAGATTGTGTCTGTGCATGTACTCAGAGTTAGAAATATCCAAACAACCAGAGTTGACATGCCTAAATGACTCACCGAGATGGCGTCAAGCTCGACAGACGTCGACGGTGCCATTCTTTAGGATGTATCTCCGATAATTGTTGGTCTTAATAACCTGATCCTGTATTGCACAGACAGAACCCTCAGTTTCCCCAAAGAGGTCAGTAGTCAGTGGAGGGAGGCGACTGTATCTACGAAAGGCTCATGTAGAGTCTTGTAGAACCTCCCGTAGAGCTCCTTCTCCTTTCATACGGTCTCCCGGTCGAACGAAAAAAAAATACATTGAAGCAAAGAATATATATAATTGAAGTGGACAGTTTTAGTGATTTTATAGCTTTATTTTTTGATATTAAATCGAAACAATTTCATAATTTAGGCTCTGTGTTGCACTTCACTTTATATTCCGTTATAATAACGCTTAAAATAAAGTATTTTAGCTTATAATAATGATAGTATTCGACCTGAAAGATAACGAATATTTTTGTAAAATGCTACGGAGGGATCACACTTAGGGTTACCATATCTCAGGTTTTGTCCTGAGATTTCAGGATTTTTAGACTCTTCTCAGGATTGCGGCTGGATTTTGCAAATCTCATGAAATCTCAGGATTTTTAGAACTTTCAATATAATACAGCTTACATTTTAAAGATCTCTTTAATAAAAAGTTAAACAAACTAAAAATATTTTTCCTTTGGTAATAATTCCACAATTAGAATCAAAACTTATTTATATAAGTAGGTACTTAAACAGTTTTATCATACTTAATATGTGAAGAAACCTTTTTAAATAAGGTTTTCTTCTCAAACTCTAAAAAAATCTCAGGATTTCTTAAATGGAAATCAGGCCTCTTCTCCGAACTTTTAATTTTTTCATCTGGTAACCCTAATCACACTCGAATACACAATACGCGAAGACACTCTAAAAAACCGTAATTAAATTTAAATTAGTTTGTCCTCCTTTCTTTCTTTATCCACCCGATGCGACCACTAGAACGGCTGCTGGGCACACATTCCTGAGTTCGAATCGTGGGTCGGATTAGTTGTTTTTGTTTTGTTAAATAATTCTTAGACACAGAGTCAGTAATTTAGCGGTTTTTCATCGCTGTGCCTCGGAAAACACGTACAGCCGTTGGTCCTGCCCCTGAGTTCTCTACTGTCTTTTCGGATTTCCATCCCATCAAACTTCATAGTGAGCACACACGCTCAAACACTATAATTCTGTCTAGACAGATCTCCGTTGAAACTGCGTGCCGTGACCGAAATTCGATCTGAAGAACATACAAACAGCCCATAAAATTCCACTGTTGGACATCGATCTCTCTTTTCATATGGATTTTGAAGATGATCGCATAAGCAGGCGCATTGCATCTCTGCCATAGCTGCCTGTTGCCCGTCTGAGTAAACGTCTCGCGGAAACTGGATTGTTATAGCGCCATCTATCAGAATCCAAAGACTTTGTAGCATTTTCCAAAGTCGCCTCCAGTTTTTCCCTTTCGGTTAAGGTAAAGTTTAAAGTTACAGCATATAAACATCCCACTGCCGGGCACAGATCTCATCTCTGAGAGGAGATCTGTGCCCAGCAGTTTTAGAGCAAGGAAATGTTCGCCGTGCTGCCCCAATGCGTGTTGGCGATCTTCTCATGTAAATGTGAAGTTTCACATGTCTTCGAAATATTTTCTTATTTCTCAGACATGCAGATTTCACACATGCATATGAGATGATGAATGCTTTTACACTGCCACCGACCCGCGACTTGGTAACCATAACCACGTCCGAAACCTGAACGGTACCGGTAACCGTTATAGCATATCAAAAGTCCACTGCTGAACATAGGCCACCCACTTAGATTGCTATTGTGATAGGCATAGGTGCCACAAGTTCCTTATCGGACGGTACGGGTTTGGCGGATGGGAGCTAGGCGACAAAAAGTGTAAGATTTTTTCGTCATTACCCCTTGTGTCATAGTGTAGATGGCCTTGGCGGCGAAATAAGAAAGTGAGATGGAATAATATCCATCTCCCTAGCACGTTTTCTTATCTTGCCATGAAAGAAATATTATTTTATTTCAAACGACGCTTCATTTTAATAGACGCTAGTAATTCATTTATTTGTATTTGTTAATCAATAATATAATACGGATTCAACTCGGTTGGGCAGCGTTCGGAAAATTACGGCACATCTTGTCTTCAGGTATACCTCAAAACTTGAAAACGAGACTGTACAACCAGTGCGTGTTGCCAGTGATGACATACGGAACTGAGACGTGGTCCTTCACTGCTGGCCGGATGAGGAAGCTCAAGGTCGCTCAGCGAGCTATGGAGAGGGCTATGCTCGGAGCGGAGTTTCTCTGCGTGATAAACTCAGAAATGAGGATATCCGCAGTAGAACCAGAGTGACCGACATAGCCCAACGGATTAGTAAGCTGAAATGGCAATGGGCCGGCCATATAGCTCGAAGAACCGACAACCGATGGGGAAGAAAGGTTCTCGAGTGGCAGCCTCGTACCGGCAGGCAAAGTGTTGGACGTCCCCCCACTAGATGGAGTGACGACCTGGTAAGATATGCAGGAAGTCGATGGATGCAGGTGGCTCAGGGCCGTGCTTTGTGGCATTCCTTGGGGGAGGCCTATGTTCAGTAGTGGACTTGTGAAGGGCTGTAATGATGATGATGATGAATATAATACCTACGTTTATCAATAATAATATACTACGCAAGGAACTTTGTTCCAACGTGAGTGTTCCACGACACTCACGCATTTTTTTATTATTATTGAAGACGCTACTGCCCATCTCCTATCAAAACCTGCATACTAAAAAAAATGGTTAAATTCTGGGAACGTCCTACATGCCGTAGCGAAGAGAGATGGGCGAAATGATAATATTTCCACATGTCAAGGGAGATGGGCGATTCCTTGCGTTTTGATCTAATCAAGTCATTAAAAACTTTGCTGGAAGACAAAGAAGAAAGCCAAGGTTGTGTTGTCTTTTGAGCGACTGAAATCCTGAATCTGGCCCCGGTCTCGTCGTCCAAGCTTAGAAATATTAGTAAATGAAAAATGCTATGTTCTGAACTTAATATTTATTATTACAATATTTTTCTTTCATAATGTTATATTGTTAATAGTAAAATCATGAGGTCTTAACCTTAAATTCAAATTGTACGAACTATGGTGAGTTGGTTGCAAAGGGTTGCTATAACCGCCTATCAAAGCACAAGAGCCGTAACTGTTCTCCGTAGATCCTCTATAGCTTGATACATTTTGTGTCATTAATGTATTGGAATTCGGTGTGTACTGTCGATTTCCAACATTTTGCATCATCAACGAGTAATCATTTTGATAAAGGCCTGAATTTGTTATAGGTAAGCCGAGGTTGAAATTTAAATTATTAGTCTGAAAGTGATGTAGCCACGGCTCTTTGGCGTTTCGCGTAAAATCTTGTCTAGGATCAGTCTGATGTGAAATTCCTATAGGAACGGGTACAGGCTCCGGGGAACTTTGGCTAGCGCTGCGGTGTGAAGAAAGTGCCGATCGTTCGTTTCGACGAAATTTTGCTCGCCTGTTTTGAAACCATACCTGTAAACAAACGAATGTTATAACTCGGTATTGAGTGATTTTTTTTTTCATTGTTATTGTAAAAGTTTTCCTTCATAAAGTAACGGGCGTTCTCTAATAACTATGGTGTGCAATTAATTCTCATGTGAACTCGATAGACCCCGGAAAAGTAATCTCAAATTCAAGGATAAAAATTAAACTTTCAGTAAAAAGTAAAAGCCGATTTCAAAGATTTTAAATGTATAAAATAATTTCCAGTTATTAGCTTAGCTTAAATTGGTGTTAAGAGATAGTGTACTCCAAAATAATTTAAATCTCACTAGATTTTTATTAAAAGTTTAATTTCTACTTTTTTGAGTGGTACCACTAATAGTATGTCGTCGAAATAGTTACCAAACTTCATTCCCTTGGAGAACCTTTTCCACCCTCAAAAGTGTAATTTTTTCTCCAAATATATATCGGACCTCTGATGTACTTATAAATTATTTAATAAAAATGTCCGTTAACAATTCAAAGTCAATATTTTTTTAATGTTATTTTTATTTGAAGTTATTTAGTTTTTGACAATTATGTGTTTATTTTATTATTATGCTGTATGTATATGAATCCTATGTTATCCGAAATAAATGAATTTTAATTTGATTGACAAAGATATCAGGTAGGTAATATAATATAATTTTTAATTATCCATAAAAATACAGTTGAATCAAGATGCTTCTATTTTTTCTTATATATATATATTTTTCGCTTTATTTTTAGACATGTAGATAAACATCTCCACTCTGTTTATTTGTGCCAGGAAATTTACAACTTGCTTAGTTGCAAGATGTTATAATGCAAGTTAATCAATCATAATATCAATTACGACAATACTTGAGTTGTTTTTAACTAATAACAAGTAATAAATACATTTAGTCTATTATACTAATTCAAAAATTAAATAAATCGTACCTGAACCCTCGCTTCAGTTAAATTCACTCGAGCAGCCAAATCTTCTCTTACAAAAGCATCTGGATAATGCGTCTTCTCAAATACCTTCTCTAACGCAGCTAATTGTTGACTAGTGAACGTCGTTCGATTTCTCCTCGGTTTCTTTCTCTCATCTGGTTTCCCATCTTTTTCTTCTTCCGACTCTTTGCGTAATTCCTGCTCCTTCGCACCTTTGTTGTCATTATATTTCCGTCTCACATCTTCGTATGATATATAATCTACAGGCTTAATATACTGCCGTGGCAAATCTTTAGAATACCAAGACAAATCATTTTGATAGTTCGAGTCATACGTTCCATTTATTTGGCGGCCAGCTGTCAAGTGATGAAGTCTCAAAAGGCTGTCCTCGTGGCATTTTATCATTTGGAAAAGGTTGTGATTATTTTCGGAATAATTTCCAGAATTAATATTGTAATTCATAGATTGCGTTCTTGCATCGTAGATCTTCGCTGGCACATTTTGCTTGCCAGTGTTAGGATCTGAATAAAAAAGTATAAATTTAACAATAATTTATTTTATCTGGTCGTAAATCAAAAAGGAAACTGTATGTATTATCGGATAAAGAAATATTCGCATGTGTATTAAACAATTCTCTCCAAAACAATGCATCGTTTTACACATATGTCAAATCACGTTCGCATCAGCGGCCGTTCTGTGTAAGTCTTTGTTGATTGAGCTCTGGCGGCATGAGTTCTGAGCAGTCCTATCAGTTTCACGACACGTGTAAACGGTTTTGTATGCCCGTTTGATTTCCAAAAGCTTGCGGTAGGTAATGTCAGCAATGCAGTAAAAAGGTTAAGTATCTTCTTTATTTATTGTTAACCAGAACAAATAATTAAAAATTTAAAATTTTGTACAGCCGACTTCAATATAAGTTGTTAAGAATAACTCAATAACTACTGGTCTGACCTTGATCAAATTCATATGGTACTACACGAGAAGTATCAGCTTTTAAATAAAAAAAAACATACAGTCGAATTGAGTACCGTCTCCTTTTTGAAAGTCGGCAGAAAAACCTATTTGATTACGAACAAGAACCTCTTGATGGACTTGAATTCCTATTTTCTTTAACTGAAGTGAAACACGAACTTATCTACAGTCCACAGGTATGTGGCTCTACAGTCAATGGACACTGTAGCTGAACCAACTTCAAACAAAGCTAAAGATCCGTTGCCACGGCTAAGATATTTTGATTCCTCACGCCCTGTAATTACCTACCGACTTCAAAAAGGAGGAGGTACTCAATTCGACTATATGTTTTTTTTATGTGTGTTACTTCATACATGTTTTCTGCGTGAACCAATTTCGATGATTTTTTGTATTTGAATACTGGTGCTTGTCATGTGGTCCCATATAAATTTGATCAAGGTCTGACCAATAGATTTTGAGTTATTTTTAGTAATTTATATTGAAGTCAGTTGTAAATTTTTTTAAATTTTTAATTATTAAGACTCTCTACTGACCTACGCTTGCGACCGAACATAGCAATAGTATAGTAGTAGTATTTTAGTTATAATTTTATAAGGGTAATAATTTGTTATATGTATTTCTTTCTTCGAGCCATCATTAAACTCCATCGCTAAACATAGGTCTCACCCAAAGATTGCTCCATATAATCACAGATATAATATCCCCCGTATTTGCTATACTTACGACGCTCGGCAGGCGGGTTACCTTCCGCAGTTTTTTTTTTAATTATTTTGAAATACTTTTAGAAAGACAACGTGGATTCCCTTACTCCGCGACGATAGAGAGTTCGTTTTCTTGAATACTACACATGGAATAAAACTATTTTGTAGGGATTTCGCGTTTATTTAGCTTAATTTATATGAAATAAAAACGTAGAGATTGGATAATTACATTGTTTATTGGAAACTACTTAGAAAACATAACTAACGTGATACCCGTTTTCTGTGTCTGGCTGTTCCGAATTACATTACGAGACACATTACTTAGCGATGAAATCTTAGTGCTCATACCCAACATGCGGTTACCCGCAAGCAAAAATATAATATTCGTAACATCCATATTCCTATGCGCAGTGCAATGCGGCTAGGGCTACGCGCAAACCACTCCGGTCGCTCGGAGAGCTGCGGCCTGAAAGACGGTTGCTATTCGCACTGTGCGTTTGCGGCTCAGTTATCTGTTTGCGGCTGCCCGCCGTTGAGTGAGATTATATGCACGTGGTGCGTTTATGATGGATACCGAAAAATTTATCATTGAAATCAAGAGTCGATATGACCGCAGATCACAACGGTTCTTCAACCGCAGGTTACGGTTGCGAATGCGGCTGCCCGCAATCCGAATGGCCGCTTTCTCAACCGCATCCTGCGGTCAGCCGGACGGCTAGCCCCATTGCGGGTAACCGCATACTGCGTAGGAGAGCTTAGAAGTTTCCGAGTATTTAACAAAAAAATTGGGTTAGCAACCTTCCGCTCCGCTAGTTGGGGCTGAGGTGAAGTTATTTTTTACTCAATGTCATCCCATTATAATTGAAAAGTTGCGTTTTAAATGAAAGTGCATTTCTAGAGTATGTGAGTGTACGAAACAATGCCACAGTAGTTTCCTCTTTAATGTTTTGCACATTGTTTAATTCTATTTTTAATTCTTCTTCTTTAGGTTTATCCGTCGTACCTACATTGGTTTATCAATTTTTAATCTAATTAATATAATTTTTTTTAAAAGCGTTATGCCCCACACTAAGATTTTCTCCTGTATTGTGGAGGCAGTTTACAAACATAAATTCCACGAAGACAAATATCCAGACCCAGAACAATTATTTGTAGGCCATACAAATACTTGTTCCGTGCGGGATTTGAACCGGCGGCCCCAGCGCAACAACTCATTGCTAAGCCACTGCGCTACGGAGCCGTCAATATATCAAATATAAAATACAATTTATAACTAATATTAACAAAGAGAAATTAACCCTTATAATTTCTTTTTTGAGTTAAAGCAGCAAAGATAAACCATTGTGTGCATGTGAGAATAGAGGTAAATAGAATACGTGACAAATTACAGGCTGCGACATACTTACTCCATCTTAACATCGATATATATGTACTACGTACTAGATTTCGCATTCCGAACATTGACTATGTTCAACTGAACTGTACTGCAATCCGTACACTAAACTAAATATTTCTTAAATAGAAGATTTGGGAAGTCCATAAGATAATCATTATTACATTTTATTTAGAAATATGTTTCTTTGGATTAAAATAAGAGTACATATTTTATATTAAATTCTTATATTTATTTTATATTAATATCTTATTTTATAATATATCCCGCGCATGCGCGAAGACACAGAGTACCTAGCGCACAATTTTTGTTTGGAATAGCTTCTCTAGTACGTAGTAGGATATACCTAGCTCAATGCATCTTAATGATTTCTTATGTTTACTCAAAATCTACACATTGAATTAAAGTAGTTTATACGGATTTTATCGTGTTTTATTTTCAGGATATAAAATAAGTAACTTAAAAGGGATAAAATCTCTAAATACTAATTTCATTCAATAATCCATCCTTTTAACTATAAGTGTTAATGCATCAATAGCCTCCTTAGTTACTCGTAAGTTTGTTATAAGTGTCCATCGGCTGCATAAGGCACACACCATCAGGTGGCTTTTGAAATAATGATGTAACCATCCATCAACCAAAAAATGGAGGACCTTTATGTTATTTTTATTTGCTTCTGAGATTCCGTATTCTTCAATTCACTTAGACACTACACACGGCGAATACACAGATACATATCGACATTCACAGATACTCAAATGGCTAAACTCATCGCCATTACAAATTTGCCAATTTATGTAGGTAGTACCTACATATGTGATGCAGGTGGTTCAGGACCGTTTTTTGTGTTCAGGCGTTTCTTGGGGGAGGCCTATGTTCAGCAGTGGACTTGTGAAGGGCTGTAATGTTGATGATGATGATGATCTATGTGATTTATGGAATGTCCAAAATAATAGTGTAAGTATGTTAAAATTGTCAATCATGTCATGTCGTATATCCATGTGTAAGATTGTAAAAGTTACATTAAAAGGCTTTTGTATACTTGCATATTCTTCATCATCATCATTACAGCCATCATTACAGCATCATTTCACAGGCGGATAAGCAAGAGTAGTTTTTTTAATTAATTAATTACTAATCAGGAAACTGCTGCTGCTTATCGGAGCCCGGATCGGTAAGCTGAAGTGACGGTGTGCTGGATATAGCTCGAGAAGTATCAACAACCAATGTACAAGAAAGGTTCTAAAGGCTGCTAGCCTTGTAGACACCGGTAAGCGAAGTGGAGGGCAGTACCCCATCCATCCTATCTATCCTACCCATTCATGCTCTACCCCTATTACGTAGTAAAGTCCTGATAAGAGATGAAGTATGAATGGATGCCCTGACTGGACACTGTTGTCTTAAAAAGCACATGTCCATCCTGGGACTAAGCAACTCAAGGATGTGCCGGTTTTGCTCCCTAGAGGAGGAAACACCTTTACACATCCTGACAAATTGCGGACCCTTAATGCGCAAACGCAGCACTCATCTGGGAAACTATATACTTAGCCCAGAAGAAGTGAAATTACTCTAACTAAATTAATGACAGCTAAGCAACTCCTTCTATTCATTGAGGACGTAGGGCTTAGCAGGGAACTGTAGACACAGCAGCTATCACAATAGATCTTTTGGGTCGCAGTGATACCAGTCTCTCTAGACCTGCATAGCTACTCGTACAAAAAAAATAATGGATGCCGGTGGCTCAGGACCATGTTGTGTGGCATTCCTTGGGGGATGCATACGTTCAGCAGTGTCGCCTGTAATGTTGATGATGATGATTATTAAGTCAGGATAATGTCATATATGTGGGAGAGCCACGCTGCAGCTATATGATGGTGGCACGAATGGGTCGGCACGACCGGGAAAGGACCAAGCTCTCAGCGTAGAATAGCAGCTTAATGTTTCGTATGATTAGTGTAGAAAACCGGAGAGTCTTTTTACTGGAAACGAGGCATTCCATTTTTGTTCTCAGGGGTGACAACGCATCTTCATTTTGATTCTTAATTGAAGACACATACCACCATGTCACTTGAAAGACACAACCTCATTCCCAGGGCTTATTATGATCCATAAATTCGTTAATATTATAATAATCCTTTTTATACAACCTTTGTTTAATAAAGTTTTAAACATGGCGGAGGGCAAGTTTTGTAAATTTTCTAGGATTTGTTGTAAAAGCGTATACCTACTTACATCGCTCCAAGCATTAATTATTGACTCTGTGGATTAGCTCAAATAACTGAAAGCTGGTATGCTACAACTAGCTTACTTCTGTTCCTAGTATTTACAGAATGAATATCACTTCTATCTTCTTCACTTAATGTCTATCACTTAAAACTACTTATATTTTTGTGTACTCGTACATACATTATATTTTCGTAAATGTATTGAGAGGCCTGACTCTTTAGATTTCAAA